AATTACTTTATAGATATTATTTTTGGTACCTTAAGCACATTTTTGCAGTGTGAAATATCTATTTTATCTATATTATTATTTTAATACAAAATTATAAAATAGAGATATGCATAAAATTATATTGATGATATTATAGTATTATAATCTTGGTAGATCTTCAAAATTCTATAAAATTAATTTTTAATTATCTGTTCATATTATAATTAGGTTTCATAAATACAAACTTCATCACAAAATACTAAATAAAATAAAATAAAATAAAAGCAGGTACACAACACTTACCTTTGAAATTGTTATCATTTTCCTCAAAAATGATTTTGTAATCTGAATTATTTTTTACATTTTTCATGTTAATATTGATAATGGTATTTATTTCATTACTTTCAATATTCATCTTCAACTGTAAAAATCGCTCATACATGTTTACTCCAGTTCTGAATGAATTTATTTCTCTTTTAAGTTTTTTTATGCTTGCTTTTTTTTCTAAAAATTAATAAATAATAACTTTTAAGATAATAATGAAAAAACAAAACATTTTTCTTCACATGTACATACTATTTAGCATGGCTCATTATCTTCTCTAATGAATAAACAAAAATAAAATGTAGAATGTATTGACATAAATTATACGTAGGTTACCTTTATATACTTGGGTGAGTTGCTCTTTGGTTTTATTGATCACATCATTCAACTCAAGTTCTGTAACTTCCAAACTATTACATTCATTATTAATAGACTCCAAGCGATCGTTTTCTGTTTGCAATATCTGTTGTTCACATTTGACTTTRTCAGATATGTGCTGTAGTGTATCACGGCTCTGGTTAATTTTGTTATTTACATCCGTGAGATTTTCTAAATATAATCAATACAAAACATTGATAATCTATAATACATCTGGAATTATAAAATACATACTTAATGTCTTGCTGTATTTATCTATGTCCTGTGAGTATAATTTCAGTATATCATCATCAAAYCTTTTTATTTCATCGGTAAAGTTTTCATATGAATTTTGGTATGCTAATTCATAATCTGTGGTTATATTATCAATATCAACATTAAAATATCTCGTCATAGTGGAAACTGAAAGTAAAAATAAATCAATATAAAGTTTATTTTTTATCAAGTCAAACATAATCATTTGTCTACAGTGCAGTTTAGTTACATATCATTATTTTATAATAATATGTTTTATTATATCAGTTAAATGTCATTTTAAATCGTATTTGAATGAAAAGTTTAAACCAGAAGTCAATATGCTTTAGGTGTCTTATAGGTTGTACGATTTTTTTTTTAATTATCAAACGAGTGACAATATATTACTCTGATCGACATAAGGGCATAATACAATAGTTGTGCATACCATTGTAATATTGTTTGTTACACATTTTACAAATGGGTTTCGGAAACTGCAACTGAACATGTATTAATTGACAGAAATTATTACAGATTTTACAAAACTTACAATATTATATTAAGAGTTCTRATGTCGGCAAAAGGCAAATGATCGATGACCGGATGCGATAATGGTAATGAAATCTATACAACTATGCCTATGCGGCTGTTGGCTGCTTGTTGACTGTAGTCTGTAGTTGTTCAAGTTGTTGTCTTGTTGATGGCTAATAATAACTACCGTTGACACTCTAATCAGTAAATTAACTCACTTGACTCGACTCATTGATTTACCTAATGTTTATCTATATTCTATACACATTCTACATYTACATTAATCACGACTGGTTTCTACGTCTTGCTGTTGTCGTTGATAAGAGGAACGATAACGGTCGTTTGAATATTTGAAACGATTACACCAATCATGCGCATGCGTCAACATTTTGCGGATTACGACACAMCGCGCCATCTATGTTTTACTATCGCGTTTCGTGTTCCTTTTTGTAACTTCACTCTTGTCCCATAGATCCCGCTTATATTATTATAGTATTTCTTCAATATTATTCATGCTATTTCTTCAATATTATTCATGCTATTTCTAAAATAATGAGGTTTTCCTATAACTAGCGCTCGAAAGTTAAAGGAACTACAAGGGCAAAATATACTTACAATTAATTGTCCTAAATTATTGTAAAACAAAAAACATCTRGAATAATGGTGTTATTAATCACCGTCGTACAAGTGCATAGCATATAGCGAATTACGCTCAGCAGATCACGTTTAGCTTCGTTAGTTTAAAAATTAAAATTAATTGACCTCTTATAAAATTTAAAGTTAAGAACATAATCTATGTTCGTATGTTTTATGATAGGTATTTTAGTTTTTAGTGTGTTATGTAACTTATGTGTTATGATCATTTTTAATTTACGCTATATTATGTACACAAAACTTGCTAWACAATTATTGTACTATAGTAAACCTGGGCATACGAACACAGATAATGCTTACCTTTAAATTTTATAAGAGGTCAATTCACTTWAACTTTTAAACCAACGGAKCTAAACTTGATTTGCTGAGTGTAAATCTGCTATGTTATGTACTTGTAAGATGGAGACAACACAACACATGCGGGTATGGCGTCYTCTTAATAATTATTTATTAGTTATTGCATTTTGTTACTAGGTACATTGAAGAAAAATATTTTTTTAATAAAACGTATTTTATATTTTCTTATAATATAACAACAGTAGGTAAACTTATGAAGATTTAATATTTTTCTGGTTTAAAAATCTCGTATGATAATTTAACTGTTTATTCACGTGTAATGAATTATCATTGAATTCAAATTAACACGTACATTTTCTAAAACATTGTATTTGTACACGAAAAACTATTCTTAGCGGAGTGTATTTGCTTAATTTTCTTGGAGTGTCCTGTGGCGATCAAACTTTTGATTTTCAAATGAGAACCCCAATTTTTKATTATAAATTATTTAGCGGATAATTTTTTTGAAAATTTTGATGTATTGGCATCAAAATTCTAATGAGTAGTTTTTGAGTTATTTACCTTTGTGTTATCAGGATAAAACGCCACAATTAAGGTTTATAAGATAATATRTGGTCTATGGTGGATTTGAAAATATTAGTCATTGATATTAATCTGTCAACATAAATAATTTGTAAAAACAACCTAATTAGCATAAATACTAATTCCAATAATATGAGTATTTTATACTTTTGTAAAACGATTCTTAAGGACTATTATCCTTAGCACAAACATTTTAATAACTAGGGAACTACTCGTTCGAATTTTTATTTCGATACATCAAAGTTCTCAACAAAATATCTGCTAAATAATTTACAGTAAAAAACTGGGATTCTCATTTGAAAAATAAAAGTTTGTATAGGACACTCCTTAAGTGGTATACAACAAATCTCAAGAATTCATAAATATGGTCTTTGAGTATATTTAAAGATTCCAAAAATCAGATTTTGAATAACTTCATTATTAAAGATAAAAAAGGGGTGAACAATGAACATGTTTGGCGAATCACCTTCTATACCTATTCCATGACACATTGCTGCAGACAAGGTATGTTAAGTCTCTACGAACTTATAGTTTTTTCATAATTTATCAGTCTTAATAAGATGATAGGTTGAAATAATTTTTGTCAAAAATACCTCAGAGGTATAATATTATACTTGTTATAATAATACCTATAATAATTATATTGTTACCATCTTATATACATCCTTCGTATAAAAAATCAAATTGTGCTCAAAGGCGCAATTTGTACCTATATTTCTTTCAAAAAAAAAAAATTATAATAATAATAATCATTAATCTTTGAGATTTGAAACTTTCCAACAGTACGTATATGACTATATTATTATTTATTACTCGGCGAAATTTTCAAAATATTAATGCTAATTGTATTTTATTTTATTTTTTATGCCTCGAAACCTATACATACTATCTTACTATACACGAGTACATATGTTATTGACTTTTAATTGTAAAGGAAGAAGCCACCCAGTGATAGCACTATACTTCACTTTAAATACATTATACCATCATGATAGCTAAAATCGTTGTTTCATTTAAATATTCAATTTTTCTAAAAATTAGAGTTTAAAATAAACAAAACACGAAAAATAAAAATAAAAACACATTTATAGTTTGGAAATCATACAGACGTATAATACTGTACAGTACACTAGTACAGGTGGTCTTACGGCTTACACGATCATTAATTTCAATCGAACGATTTTATTGAATATTCATTTGAGTAACCGTGGTCCGTGGCTGATGTTTAGTGACGAACAATTCCCGATACTATTTTTATACAACAYAAACACGTCATACTAAAATGGTGCAATGGTTTGGTTTACAAAATAATGCTATGCCCGAGTTCTTAAGTCTCACCAATAGGTATATACCATTTGTTCAACGGTCTTCTCAAAATATCCACGAAGATGTTATGAAGCACGAGGCCAAACGATTTGTTTAAAAATTTAAATTGATGTGAAATATTCCAGACATTCCAGATGGGCTTTACTCATTTGTTAACTGTTGGTACATTACATTATATTAATAAACGAACGCGAGTTTAATTTTATTTCGCTATTATATTGTTCTTTTATGGTATAACAAAAATAACGATCTATTAGAAATTCATATTAAAATAATATGCTTATGAGTGTTGATCATTGTTATTTAAAAAAAAAAAAAAACAGTATAATTATTTTAATATTGTTAACATACCCTAATATCGAAATATATATAATATATATATCTTAATATCTAATGCATTTGTACATAACTTGAAATATACATATTTTTTTAATAATCATTAATCAGTGACCCAAAATATCTACGTCTTACGAACTCTGAGACTGTATATACACTTGTTATTGTTTATTTTAAAAATAATATGGTCAACCAGTGGTGCCAAAGTTTTCAATTTAAAATAAGAAAAATTTGGATAAATTCAAATAAAAGTATTAAATAGCTACTTTTTTACATTTTTTATGTCAACCTATTCATATTTTTGGTATAACACAGTAAAAAGAGACATGKTGCGTTTGACAGGGTGGTTAAATTATTTTTTTTTTAATGAGCTGTGATCTATGTTGTCAATTAATATCTGGTGTAACATGATGAGAGAAGACAGACAAGAAGGTAGGTAGTTGTTAGTATATTATTTTTAAGTTTATCACAYTGTTAACTATAGACCACGTTATGCTATATATGAGTTGGTCGGGATGATAATAAATTAATAACAATAATAGAGTTGTTGTTGCTCATGGTTGCTGTGAGGTTTATAAGAACAGTACAGCAGCCGGTGGTGCCGTGGTGGTAATTCTTTAGCCGTCTAAGACGTTGCCCGGTGTACACTACGTGGAAGCGAATTACCTTTGTACCTACCCTTTGTATACTTGGGCAACACTAAACTGTATCAGAACTGGTCATGGTAGGAGTGGTGACATGATGTACAAATGGGAACTGCGTGACAATGTGACGTGTAACTGTGGCTATGAATCCCAGACGATCAATCACATCACCACTGAAATACTGAATGTCAAATTCGTKAATTTAAAGGCACCATAGAAGATATCCACTTGGCGAAGGAAAAAGCGGTGGAATAGATGTGAAGCTATAACATGACCCTATTACATTTACCAATTGGGGAACCATGTTTTATGTGTTTATTTATTTWTGAGTTATATCACTGTAGATCATCTTTTAATTTTTAATTTTAATTTTATACATGTTATATCTTTTAATGTTCTMAGTGTTTTTGATGTTGCTCATAGACGTCATACGAAATAATAATAATAACATTAATAACAATAATTATTTAAAATTGCTATAATATAGTACCTATTGTACRAGTATAATTTACTGAAATTAAATTTCGTTTTCATGTATATAAATTACTTAAGTATTGTTAACTACAGAGYTGTTAAATGTTTTACGCTTTTTAGACAATAAATGCATACAAATACCAACTTATATGTTTATTATATTTATACAATTTAGATGTTATAATAGGTACCTACTACCTACTACCAACCTACCTATTATATTATTAGGCGTATAATAATAATATGCATCGTTATCTATTTGATGTATGGTTATTTTAAACAATAATTACAATTATTGTGTGACATATGAAATTTGTTAATACAATTATTCATAACAATAATAGTTGTCAGCTGATTATAATTTGTCTTTTWACATTTTAATATTTTCATTCATTTTAATTATTTCTAAATACATTTTAAAAGAATTTTTCATAAAAAACTCGTTTTATTAAAAGTTGAAAATTATTATAAAAGTGTACCTACTACCTACTAGTTACTACCTACTACTAATCTTTGCAATAATATGACAATAAGCAATTCTAATAAATCAATAATCATTAAATCAATAGATAATACATTATGGACTATGGTAACTGTTTGGTATATGAAAATTATGACAAAATGACTTATTGGTATATCTTTTAATTAAATTAATAACATATCTCTTAATCAGTCCACACCATTTGAGTTTTAGTTAGGGTTATTTTTGGGGGGGGGAATTGTGGTATATTAACATAGGTTTGAGATATACCTAAGTGGATTACAATGCGTTTTTACATTTTGTTAAAAAAACATTTATAAATTGTTTGGGATAGTTGTTTTTACTGAATATTTATTAATATATATTATCTATCAATAGTTATTTTTTGTCAATAATAATATTAAAAATAAGTATTTTACACGATGGATTTAACTTTCTTTTACCTGTAATGTTCTATGTATATGGTTAGTAATTACTTAATTGTATGTATAATAAATCAT